GATGGTACTTGGATTAATTTGCAATTTCTTATGTACATGATTCAGCGGCTGACTTGATTTCCAAATAAAATACTTTCAGTTACGTTTCCTTTAACTTTGATACTGTTATATATAAACCTCCTAGCCATAATGAATTCATCATTACCGATTATCACACTGGCGTCGTGGAGTCAGTTTTTAAACAAATGGACATTCAAGTGGGAAATCATGTCCACCTCGCGATGCTAAGTACTTTAAGTGTGACGAAGTCAAGTATATCAGGTTGATGTGAAGAACTACTAGTGATATTAAACCCCGTTATTCGGGGGTAATTCACTTCCCATTTGAAAACGATTATATCGGTGTAGTGGTTCGTCTCGTGATCCTATTGTCGACACTGGCAGTATCAAGCACATCATTTCAGTCAGAAAGTTCGAGTCATTAAATTCCAATGCTATAATTAAATCTACTGAGATTTCTACGTCAAGTATTATTGGCTATAAACTTCCTATTCTCAGATGTCGTAACTTTCCAATCGGAGATGATGAATCTTCAACCATAACCTGTGGATTCCTCATCACTGACCATGTACCATTTAATCTGGGGCTAGAATATTTAATAAGGCACCAAGGATAACTTTTTCTCATTGACCACTGAAGGCAGTTTTGGTGAGATGCCTGGTAAGTTGTTGACTACGAATCGAAAATTTGCGCATGACTTTAGAATCTTCCTATCCTAAAGCTCAAGAACAAAATGTCAATTGCTTGAATACTGAATATAATCCTATTACTGCTAAGAAATTCAAAGACCAGGAGGGAAATTAGGTGGAATTTTTGAGTCCAGAAATCCCAAGTCGTATACAAAAGAAACAATGACAAGATTGTTTAGACAGAAGAATACCGTTCTAACTACTAAGTGTTTATAGTCTGCTGACATTGACTACTATCAAGGAACGGATCTTCTACAATTCACGAAAGGTCTGCTCAAGAATGTTGATAAATCTATGGTTTGTATGCATGTCAGCCACACTGACAGAACATTTTTTAAGGAGCCAGGTGAGTCAGTTTCGGTTTTCAATGCAAATTTCAATACCAATCAGTTTTTTCTAAATAATATTAAACCTAACCCCAAGATGCGTTCAAGGAATCTGGACAGGAGACGTACGAAAAATTACAGAAGGCCCAACATCCGTTTAAGTTGTGATATTTATACTAATTGACGATTTTCTTTGTACATGATTCGGCAACTGATTTGATTTCCAAATACAATACTTTCAGTTGTGGTCACTGTGTTCGCCAAGACTTTGATACAGGTATATACAGGACTCGTAGCCATACCGAATTAATTATAACCGATTATCACAACACTTAACTCCGCCTGTAGCTCCTCTGGGGGTTACTGCCGGTCCCAAGCCCGGGTAAAGGAGGAGGGTTGGGCATGGGGTTAGCGACCCCATCCCGTAGAAAATCAACTCGCTAAAAAAACGCTAACCAGAAAAAATCATTAAAACCTTTCAAACTCTGCCCTGGGAGTAGAAGGAATAATTATGACGTCTCATGATGAAAGCCGAGTTCCTTCGGAAGTCATGAGGCCAATGCACCTTCTTACAACCAGAGCAACAATTTTTATAGGTACATGGAATGTCCGAACAATGTGGGAGACCGGAAGAGTTTTCCAAATTGCTGCAGAAATGAGAAAATACAACCTGGAGGTTCTTGGAATCAGCGAAACACATTGGACGCAGGTTGGACAACAACGACTGTCTTCAGGAGAACTTCTGTTATACTACGGTCATGAAGAAGAAAATGCCCCACATACACAAGGAGTGGCACTGATGCTGTCTAGAAAAGCACAAAATGCACTTATTGGATGGGAACCTCATGGACCAAGGATCATCAAAGCCTCCTTCAAAACAAAAAGAGAGGGCATTACAATGAACGTCATCCAATGCTATGCGCCTACCAATGACTACGATGAAGACGCTAAAGACCAATTTTACGATAGGCTGCAGTCGATCTTCGAGAAGTGCCCAACCAAGGACCTGACAATTCTGATGGGAGATCTCAATGCTAAGGTTGGAAAGGACAACACTGGATACGAAGACGTCATGGGACAACATGGACTGGGAGGAAGGAACAAAAATGGTGAGAGATTTGTAAACCTATGTGCCTTCAATAAACTGGTCATAGGTGGCACCATATTTCCACACAAAAACATACACAAAGCCACTTGGATTTAACCGGATCACACTACACAGAATCAAATCGACCATATCTGCATCAACAAAAAGTTCAGGAGGACGATGGAGGATGTGAGAACCAGAAGAGGAGCTGATATAGCATCCGATCATCATTTGCTGGTCGCCAAGATGAAACTAAAACTCAAGAAGCAGTGGACAACGGCGCGGACAACATCACAAAAGTTTAATACGGCCTTTCTTCGAGATGCTGACAAACTCGAAAAATTCAACATAGCCCTCAGCAACAGGTTCCAGGCCTTTCATGATCTACTCAATGGAGAGGGAACTACCATGGACAGCAACTGGAAAGGTATCAAGGAGGCAATCGTTTCAACATGTCAGGAGGTTCTGGGCCAAAAGAAGCACCATCACAAGGAATGGATCACTGTTGGTACACTGGATAAGATTGAAGCAAGGAGGAACAAGAAGGCAGCAATCAATATCAGCCGAACCAGAGCGGAAAAAGCCAAGGCACAAGCCGAATACACAGAGGCAAACAAGCAAGTGAAGAGGAGCATGAGAACCGACAAACGTAAATATGTCGAAGATTTATCAACGACAGCGGAAAAGGCTGCAAGAGAAGGAAACATGAGACAATTGTATGATACAACAAAGAAACTTGCTGGAAATTACCGTAAGCCAGAAAGACCAGTGAAAAGCAAGGAAGGCAAAGTAATCACCGACATTGAAGAACAACGAAACAGGTGGGTAGAACACTTCAAAGAACTCTTGAATCGACCAGCCCCGCTGAACCCACCCAACATCGAAGCAGCACCCACAGACCTCCCAATCGATATTGGCCCACCAACAACTGAAGAGATCAGCATGGCCATTAGACAAGTCAAGAGTGGCAAAGCAACGGGACCAGACAACATCCCGGCAGAGGCACTGAAAACAAATGTAGCAGCAACTGCCAAGATACTACACATCCTCTTCAGTAAGATTTGGGACGAAGAACAAGTACCAACAGACTGGAAAAAAGGACTTCTGATCAAGATACCAAAGAAAGGAGATCTCAGCAAGTGCGACAACTACAGGGGCATCACTCTTCTCTCAATACCAGGAAAAGTCTTCAACCGAGTATTGTTAAACAGGATGAAGGATTCCGTGGACGCCCAACTTCGAGATCAACAAGCTGGATTTCGTAAGGATAGATCGTGCACAGATCAAATCGCAACTCTGCGGATCACTGTGGAACAATCAATCGAATGGAATTCATCACTCTACATCAACTTCATCGACTACGAGAAGGCATTTGGTAGCGTGGACAGGACGATACTATGGAGGCTTCTTCGACACTACGGCGTGCCTCAAAAGATAGTCAATATCATACGGAACTCCTATGATGGACTAAACTGCCAAATCGTCTACGGAGGACAACTCACCGACTCGTTTCAAGTAAAGACCGGTGTTAGGCAAGGTTGCTCACTCTCACTCTTTCTCTTTCTCCTGGTCATCGACTGGATCATGAAGACGTCAACATCTGGAGGAAAGCACGGGATACAGTGGACAGGCAGGATGCAATTTGACGATTTAGACTTCGCGGATGATCTGGCTCTTCTATCACAAACGCAACAACAAATGCAGGAGAAAACGACCAGTGTAGCAGCAGCCTCAGCAGCAGTAGGTCTCAATATAAACAAAGGGAAAAGCAAGACTCTCCGATACAACACAATATGCACCAATCAAATTACACTTGACGGAGAAGCTTTGGAAGATGTGGAAACCTCTACATATCTGGGCAGCATCATTGATGAACACGGTGGATCAGATGCAGATGTGAGGGCGAGGATCGGCAAAGCAAGAGCAGCAAACCTACAACTGAAAAGCATCTGGAGCTCAAAACAATTGTCAACCAACGCCAAGGTTAGAATTTTCAATACAAATGTCAAGACAGTTCTACTGTATGGGGCGGAGACGTGGAGAAATACGAAAGCCATTATCCAGAAGATACAAGTGTTCATCAACAGCTGTCTACGCAAAATACTTCGGATCCGATGGCCAGACACTATCAGCAATAAGTTACTGTGGGAGAGAACAAACCAGATTCCAGCAGAGGAAGAAATCAGGAAGAAGCGCTGGAAGTGGATTGGGCACACCTTGAGGAAATCAGCTAATTGCGTCACAAGACAAGCCCTCACATGGAATCCTGAAGGTCAACGGAGAAGAGGAAGACCAAAGAACACATTACGCCGAGAAATAGAGACAGACATGAGAAGAATGAAGAAGAACTGGATAGAACTAGAAAAGAAGGCCCAGGACAGAGTGGGTTGGAGAAAGCTGGTCGGCGGCCTATGCTCCATTGGGAGTAACAGGCGTAAGTAAGTAAGTAAGTATCACAACACTTCATACAGCTACCAGTAGCATCATTTCCTGACATCTTAAAATCCAAATGTCGAATATAAGTACTATTTTGCAATAAACCACTCAAAAAATCAATTTGTTTTTTAGGATTATTTAATTTGTTAGAACCATTAAAAGTCAACAGGGTTTTAAACTTCATAAGTCTTCTAAAGCTTAAAGAGACTTGCTTCGACGATTGAATGACTTTTACTATACAATTAATTTGTAATACCATAAAAATCAGTTAGTTAATTTTATAACCTATCTACCAACATGGCACATGAAATTCATGAGGTATTGTAGAATTCACAAAATATAACAGGATACTTAAAGACTTTAGAAGCTGTTTCTTAACAGAAAGTACAGATAATTCAGTCTTCATCTAATAATGAGTGAATAAATGGTGGTCTGAATAATCGCATCTTCAACTTTGGCTTACATATATTTATCCGAACTACAAAATACAAATTATATATGATTATGATATAAACTTTATGATTACCTTCATTTGATACGGCTATGTACTCCTTTCGAAGAACGAGTATTAGGATGTTAGTAAGCACAAACTTGTAACGACTTCCTGATAAGGTTTTTAGATACCGGGACGAACTTACCACATACCTGTTTGCCCGTAAATTTGTCAGTAGATTCCTCGTCTACATAAGAATGATTATACCAGCCGAAGTCGTATGAGAAAAAATGACGAACAAAAAGCTTTTTAGTGTGTACAAATGATTATATCTGACATATAACAAAAATATACTCAAACACACAGGTATGTGATGAAAATCTCAGTAGAGAACAAAAAAGACCGAATAGCAGAACGAAAGGCAAAATAATGTAATGTTCAGAGCTCAGAAGCAAGTAAAAAATATGTCCATCCACCTCATAGTCATACATCAAGAATTGTATTGATAGCCCCCAAATGCTTTGGTACGACCGAGGGTGGGGAGAGTCAGCTCTCCATCGTAAAATGCTCTCACATGTCCACTCGTATACAACCACTGCCAGGGAAGTCCTATTCTGCCTACTCGCTATGGGGGTTTTGTTTACTAAATTGAGAGGACGGAAAGCGAATGTCTGGCGCCTTGACAGGGTTGGTGGACAATTGATGGGATTGTCTGAGTCTAATGAAATTTTAATTACTGACTCATTTCCAGGGTACATAGAAGAAATAGCTAACGATTGTTAATGATTATACCATAAAACTGATGTAAAGAGACAGAGAATGAAGAGTAAGTATAATAAAAAGAACAGCAATGAACAGAAATTAGCGTATGAGAGTGAAATAATAATAACAATGGGAGCAGTCCAGTTAGAAAAAATATAACCAGAAAGAATTCTTCCAGTTAAAGAAGTTACGTCCATTTTTTATGAAGATAGTAAAGTTACAGCAGGATAACCACCGGCTTCTATTCTGATTCATGTCTGATAAGGTCCCTAGCTACTGTGTTGTCCCATCTCCAGAACCCCAACGAGGGAGTCGTGAAGGACTAACAAAAGTCAGTCCTGTACAGACTTCTGTCATACTACGAAACCATGTCATACGCTGAACACCTCTCGGCTTTTTACAACCGGTCCCAGCGTCGGCAAATAATTCACGATGTGAAATTCTTTGGGATGAAACTCGTAAGACATGTCCAAGCCACTGAAGTCGATGTTTCAAGATAATGACACCAATTGAATTGTCATCGCTCTGCCCGAATACACGATGGCGAACCTCCTCATCGCTAACATGGTGTTGCCACTGGATTTCAGAAATCCTTCGAAGACAATGAAAACCAAACACAGAAAGTTGTCTAACATCTTCAACTCGGAGAGGTCAGGTTTCACAAGCATAGAGCAAAACTGCTCTCACCGACGCGTTGTAGATCCGACCTTTTACAACCAGACCAAGATTACGATGGTATCAAAGGTGACAAAGATTGGCATAAGCCTTTCTGGTTTTCACTATACGTGAATCGATCTTGTCGCTCACGCCACCACCAACAACACTTACTCAGCTACCTAGATACATGGAATTCTCGAATACTTTTATCTGCTCACTACCCAGAGTGAGTGCAGGTTCAAGGTCCTGCCAGTGTTGTAGAAGTACTTTGCAATGAGAGGGTGCAAGGCACATACCATACCTACGGACACTGATTGCCAACTGATTAAGTGAGGATTGCATGGCTTGGGTATCGTCGCATAGTAAGACAATATCGTCCGCATACTCAAAGTCGAGAAGTCTTTCTCCAGGCAACAGATCGACACCATAATTATCTGCATCCATTAGAGCTGTTTCCAAAATGTCATCGATGGAAAAGTTGAAGAGGAGTGGTGAGATTGGGCAACCCTGTCTAACCCCACTTCGTAAATGGAACGACGGAGAGAGGTGGTTGTGTTCCTCACTCTGCCTGAGGTGTTAGTATATGGGGCTTTTGGGATGTTAATAAACTTCTCAGGCACACCCTTCTTCAATAGACAATCCCAGAGAACAGTCCTGTCCAACGAGTGGAAGGCGACCCTGATGATAAGAAACACTGTGACATTTGGCATGTTATAAGTATGGCGATGTAATAACATTTGACAGAGGGTAAAAATATGATCAATATATTATTGACCAGAACGAAAATCAGCCTGCTACTCGCGAGTCAATCTTTCTCGGGTTTTGAACAACCTACGAAGTATGACAGAAGGCAATAGTTTGGACGCAATAGGAAGTAGACTTATCCCCCAATAGTTGTTACAGGAACAACGTGAACTCTTCTTAAAAATAGGGACAACTATCGATTCATTCCATGACGTCGGAACACTCTAGCTCCTAAAACTTTGTAAACAACTCAGTCAACTCTTTAGCCAGAAAGTCACCACTATCTTTAAAAAGGACTGGAGGTAAGTTATGTGGGTTGAGTGATTTGTGGCGCTTTAAGAGTGTGAGTTCCTTGCGGACTTCCGCCTCATTTGGTGGGGCAGTCGTCACCGGCCATTTAGGACAGGACAATCTGACCGATGTTGCCGGAGCAGCAGGCCAGATGAACTGCCCTTCAAATAATCCTGCCCATCGTCCTAGACGTCGGTGGATGTTAGTGATTGGCTTGCTGCCAGTGGCTCGGATGAGTTGGAAGAGCTTCCGGCAGTTGCCAGATGCAGCTGCAGCTTCCAGCTCATTAGCACGCTCCGACCACCAGGCTTTTCGGTATTTACGCAAGCTTTGTCCAATTTCAACTTCTGGGTACAATACCTTTTTTTGTTGTGTTAAATTTGACAGGTCAATTTAAGCTCCATGTCCTCCGACCAAAGGTAAAAGATAACCTACATCTACACAGTCCACTTCCGTCAGTCTTACAGATCCTGAATAAATTCAAATAGGGAACCTGAGATGTTGATTTACTATCGTATCATTATAATACAAATACGAAGGTAAAATTAGTCCCAGATGGTTTTTCTGCAAAAAGTATTCACATTCACAACAAAAAATATATTTGGAAGTACTCGGGGAATAAAACGAAAATATTGGAATTGTATTATGTACATAGGAGAAGATTCACAAAGGTTTAATCAGTTTATTTTACTCGTCGACTTTCAATTTTATCCAGAGAGAAATATAACCTGCTAAGAAGGCAGAAGTATCCACAAGGCACAATGGTCTGAAGGCAATAAAAATTAAGCAATTACTTTGTTCTTACTGCACTGTAATCTTTTAAGGCGACTTGACAATACGTTGTGAGCAGCATAAGGGCCATAATTCCAAGACAAGCGAATTTCTTGAAGGATACATGTCCAACAACTAACGTAGTTCCTAGCAATAGTTCGAAAACTCCCATAGATTGCATGTAGATCTGAGGACTAGGTATCACTCCAATATGCCGTAGTGGTGATACTTCAGTGAAATTCTTGAATGTCTTTAACTATGATTACGAAAACAGATCCCAATAAATCAAAGGAGCTTACCATTTCCCGATAAAGTGCTGTATTCAAGCGCACTGTCTTTACTATACCAGGCAGTATGAACAGCAGTCCAAGAACTACAGTTGACACATGGGTAGCAAGATGTGACGCCATTCTGCTGTCTTGTAACGTAAAAACGAGTAGTAACATTCTGATACGAAGATTTACATATTTCAGAAGTTATTTTAAAATATAAAAACACTGGACAACCGTTTTTAGACGACATTAGGATGCGAAAGACTAGTGAAAAGCACTCAATGTGTGACAAATTAACTCGTACCGAAGCAAACAAGTGACTAAGTTGTATCATATTTATACGCAATCTGTTTTCAGAAGGGTTAACAATGCCTAAAAAGATAATATTTACGGATTCCTTATTGAGATCATCCAGAATTACATGTAAAGTAACCGTGCAATCAACAAACTAGCGTACATTTGGGTTAGTTCACGTTAACACAATTCAACATTCAGAGGAAAGTATTTTAACTTGTAAAATCGCGAATTTATGTCTACATGAACATTATGAATGTGCGGCATACAAGTCTTGAAGTGAATTGTCAGTTTATACTGATAAGTATATCAAATAAATTTTCAATATTATTGCACTTGAAAACAAATGTTTGTAGATCACGAGATGTTATGCAGGTACCAGGTATGCATAATTAAGTCCGACGAGTGGAGTCAAAATGAACAGTTGTAAACGAGTATAAGCTCAGTAAGATGATCTTATTCTCCTATAAACTGAGCAAAACTACCAATAAAATAGGTGAAAACCTAAAACTATGGGAAATTTTTGAGCTTGACAAAGTGTCTCGTTACGTAACAGTTCCCTAGAGCAGCCAGTGTGTAATGTTTATTAAAATGTCGGCTATACATACTCCAAAAATTATGAAGGATGTCACGGTTTATGAAAATTTAGATACTAAATTTCTTGGATTACTGATTGATCAACAGACAAAAATTCGCGTCCACACAACATGGTAGCAGTGGTAAAGTTAACAATAATTTGTAGCTTTGACGCCGGAATCAGTACGTTTCAACCTAATAATTGCGAAGGACCGATTCAAAAAGCAGGTAAGTGGTTGGAAATACGTTTTTCACAAGATTACCAGTTATTTTGTACTAAACTCACAGAACATCACTTTACCTGTTGCGTGCTGAAATGACATTATCTGGTAAGATTTTTTTTACTGATAGACACAATATTAATCTAAGGTTGTTTCGGCGATTAAGGTCCTAAGTTAACCATTACTAGGTACTGGGAGCTCATTCTTCTAAGAACATATACACTACAAAACACAAAACGCGAAATACGCCTGGATATCTCAACCAGCGACTTTTTAACGTGTTACCCATTTGATATATTGCATAAACTGGTACTTGATTGTTGTAATTACATATTTTAAGGAAGGACTTTGAACAGAAGCATATGGTGTTAAGTAAAGATTAAGGAGCTGCTTATACTCTTACTACTTCTTCCACTATGGGATTTGAATCGACAACTGCATCTGTGTGCTAATGTGGTATGGCAACTCGAACTGATGTACGTACGTACGAAGTTCTACGTTGTGACTGACTGACTGACTGAAAGATTAAGGAGGATGATACCTTAACTTCTAACTATTATGGCTTTGTCATTTTTCATGGGTATTGACACGGTTATAAATAATTGAGACCTTCCAACTTTGAGGGAGATTTGCCCAAGCAAGCAAAAAAGGAGAACAAAAGCGGACTTTTGGGTGAATCCTTAAGAGAATTGGGTGTAAATATAAGCGACTATGCAACTACAAATCGTCTTTTCCCCAGGTCTGGGGCAAATAGTGCCTATTTTCCCTAGAATTTACCCATAGAGGAAAAATGTATCGAACTTGACACTTTCACTTTGACAAAATTTACATTGACTCGTCTACTTTTCCCCTAAACTGGCATCAAATTGTCTATCTTACCCCTAAAATTAACACCACATTGTTTATTCTCACTGGACTCATGAGGACACAATTTGTGGACGACCTGTGGAGGAGTTCTGTTGTTAATCTTAGAAGAGATGTGATTAGAAACACATACATTTTCATGGAATTTGGGGAAAACTACAGAATTTTTAAAGACCATGGAGAGAAGCCGAGTCTGCCCAATCTCCCTATTTTGGGAAAATATTGGGGAAACCCCAAAATTTTGAACAATTTTCCAAAATTCAGGGAAATTTGGGTGCGACTTTTCGAAAACGGTCAAAACTTTCTCAAAAATATGAAGCTTGGGTGGAGATTAAAAAGACAAGAAAATCCATCCTTCATCTAATGAGAAGGGGAAAAAAGAGGTGGGAAATCTGAGTAAAATTCTTTTGTTCCTACTGTTATTAGCTAATTTAGGGAGATATCTTTATTGAGGAGATAATTGAGGCACATAAGGTGAACTTGTTAGTTCAAATTTGACGCTAACTTTTCGTTACATTTAAGGTGGATTCGGAATGTATAACAATAAAAAATTAAACAAACAACATAAACTTATGTCATGAATACATAGTTATTGAACGAAAAAAATGGAGTTTCGTTTTACTTTGAACTTTTCTGACACACTCTTTATCTGACCACTTTTTGTCCTTGTTCAATCAGCGGTCACATTGAAAGATCACTGACATAATTTTCGTCTGCATTTGCAAGTCAAACTTTTCCTCACTGGTGGATTATGTGTGGTAAACTACCTACATTTTATTCTCTATTGTGGGACCACTATTCACAGGATATGATTGTGAACCTAGTAACCACTCAAACAAACGACTCCTGGCAGTTGAGAAGTACAGACTGAATCATATTTGTGTATTTATTATCGCGTATCGCTTGCTTATTTTATAAGTGAAAACCGGCCTTTATCAACGTGCTCTGGAAGAAGGGTAAGGTTTCCGGAACATTTAGACGATAACCGCACTGAGGACACAACATAACATCTTGTTTCATGTCATTATTTTGGGCCATTATGTCAAAAAGCCAAAACATTTCCGATCTCATGTATAAGTATATATTTTTTCCCGAAAAAATGATTGTGAGAAAATAGCTTCTACACAATTACCTGTTAAAAAAGACATGCAGAGCAGTTCCTTTTACTTCTTCCATCCGTTTTGCGTCGTTACACACTTACGAGTGAATTTCGACATGCATTGACAATTCCCTTTGTTTATTTTTTTCTGACGGTTGGAGATTAAAGAGCCGACAAAGACTGCGATGATTTAAAATTTTCATTGTACTTTACTTAGACTTTATCGAACTTTTCCGTGACTGAGTTATACTGATGCTAGGACTACCATCAATTGTTCTACTACTACAACGATCCAGAATAGCACAAATTCTGATTAAACTGAAACGGGGTGTGGTAGTTGTAATAATGGTTTATTTCTGTAAACTCAGGAATATACTGTGTTTATGGACATGAACAGTAATGTACGATCAGGACTTCCACATAAATTGCCATCATATTAGAGTTATTGATGAGATTTTATTGATAAATCTGCTATTTTTCACAAGCGAAAGTCAATAGAAATATATCAGGCACCTATGAAATTGGTATTCGAAAAGCTCTTATTTATGATAAATTAGTGAAAAAAGGAAACGGCAATAAGCTGTGTACCTTCAAAGTTCATATGTTGAATATAAAGTCTAAGTTCTAGGTAGGAACTCCAAAGGTATGTGATGCGGAATTGCTGAAATAAGGGTAAGAGAAAAGGGTGAGCAGTAGGACAAGGAACTATAAGTGACTGACAACGTCCAGCTGTTTGAATAGGAACACACCCGGTGTTTAGTCAGCATGTAAAACTCTAGGCAGCTAGTTTCATTACAATGAATAGTGGCGGTCTACAAATAAGTTGTTGAGACAGATAACAAGGAGTCGTGGATTGAAAGTAAAAGAAATCGGTCTCAGCAGTGAGTAGAAAGCTGTTTATCTGTTTTGAGGATGAGAGAAAAAGACGTAGTCTATAAATTCAAATAAGTTTGTCATTATTAAGATACCTTTTCATCATTGATCTTTCATTTTTTATATCAACTACTAGTCTTTTGGTTTTATCATCAAAGCGTGCACTTGTTTGAAATAGGTTATCTTGAAAGAATAACATGATCAATTTATGCTTATGTAGTGACCTACTTTTATGAAGAGGGCGACTGGCATATTGGGAATAATTATTATTATGACCAACTGTACCAGTGATTGTTTTACAGTACATGTTTGTTTAAGTGTACCGAAAAACTCACTTTTCCACTGTTTGTAACCTTGCACGAACTCTCGTATATCCGTGATGTCGCCTGTAAACTTTGGCACAAACTGGGTATTATTTCGATACCACGAGATCGCCAACGAATACATCCTAATACAATCCCCAACTGCCTTCTGATATTTGGCCTTCAGAGAGATCTAACCTAGCAACTGGCAAGCCGTTTTCCTGTAGTAGTGATCATATTCAACCGCAACTCGATACTACCACAGTTAACAAACAATAGCATGAAATAGCGAACATAGTGTAACATTCTTGATACTACTGAGTGGCTACTATACTTCCAACTACAAAAAATTTAAAAACGGATGAAACTTCCCGTTCTTCAAAAGTAGAGTTTAGAGTCATGATAAAAACCAATCGAGAAGAGATCATTTCTTACCAGTTGTTACTTTCTACCTCAAATGAGCGGTGGTATTATCCCTGGTCGATTACCTCTTTTAGTTTGGTTGTATTATAAGGTGAGGAAGCTCCTTTTATACCTGTTTATGTTGATTTTTCAGTTGCTGTAACATGGAAATTTCAGTCTTGTGTGTTCTGTGTTTACTACCCAATTAGCTTTTGGAGTACGTATTCTATAAATCGGTTTCCCTGTATCCGTCTGTTTTTTCAGCGCTTAATGGGATTTTTTGTCGTTCTCTTGGTGAGATCACTTAGCAAATTTGATCGCTTGGACAAAACATCGTTGTAGTAGATCCACATGCTTTTTTACGGCTGAAGATATAATGCAATATGGCTGCTGCAATGGTTAATATCACAAATTGTGCACTAAACTCACACCGGATGCATATAAGAAGTGTTGAAAACAATTATCATGGCTGTGTGAAGAATGTTGCTCAATAAGGCCTTTGTTTATTCTTGGGGTGACCGAGCTGCTAGACGGAGTCCTAAAATAAATGACCACAGGCAAATTAGCAGTCATCAGATCTTGATGAAGCGAAGAACGATATCGTGAGTCCATTCTTAGATTTGGGTAGAACGATCAAGTTGGGTCCTCATAACGTAGATGTCAAACACGCAGTTGTAGGCACAGTTGTAAGAAAGAAAAGAACGAAAAAGAGGCGAATTACAGAAAGCTACCATTAATGTAAGCTGGCCATTTTCGCTGCAGAACCACATACACGTATCAAAGCAATACGAGCTGTGAAAGAGCAAGGCCTTGAGGTATTAGAAGACTAAATCAGGGAGCGAAATAGAGTCAGTGACTGGCTTACAGTGGCACCTAGAAAATGAAGACAGAAAGAGAGACCTGCACAATTGCTGCCAAATCTGACTGCATGGATTAGAAGCGTTTAAAAAACCAAATCTTAAAGCTTGTCAAAACAAATCTCGAGGAGAAGTCAATCCTTTTTTATAAATTTAAGAAACTTTTGAGGGAACGAACTAAAGGTTTGGTTAGAACACGATCTGGGTCATCCTAAGCACTTAATGAGCAGTAGTGAGTCACCATTCTTAAGCTTTACAGAATAGAAAAACGAGGACTACGAAATTATGCAGGTAAGCCACCTCTTAACAGCTACCTTTTCCTATCTATATGTTCGTGAGGATTGTAAGGTTTGAAGTAAAAAGATCCATAAAGCACTCGAAGTGGTGCGGGAAAGTATTGTACCAGATTATAAGCATACTGTACAGATGCTCGAGGTCTAACAAATAAAGTGACCGAGCTCAGAAGCGCTATGTCGTCGATAAAGACGGGCCTAACGGTAACGTTAGGATTGACCGTTTTAAAGGCGAATATTTGGAAGGAAACCCTTACAACGTTAATTTTTCTACGGTATGATGGAAAGACACAAGCCTCACAAGTACGATACCCTACCCGATAATCTACAGTTACAAAGAAACGTCGATGGCACCTGAAAACCGGCCTTTATCAACGTGCTCTGGAAGAAGGGTAAGGTTTCCGGAACATTTAGACGATAACCGCACTGAGGACACAACATAACATCTTGTTTCATGTCATTATTTTGGGCCATTATGTCAAAAAGCCAAAACATTTCCGATCTCATGTATAAGTATATATTTTTTCCCGAAAAAATGATTGTGAGAAAATAGCTTCTACACAATTACCTGTTAAAAAAGACATGCAGAGCAGTTCCTTTTACTTCTTCCATCCGTTTTGCGTCGTTACACACTTACGAGTGAATTTCGACATGCATTGACAATTCCCTTTGTTTATTTTTTTCTGACGGTTGGAGATTAAAGAGCCGACAAAGACTGCGATGATTTAAAATTTTCATTGTACTTTACTTAGACTTTATCGAACTTTTCCGTGACTGAGTTATACTGATGCTAGGACTACCATCAATTGTTCTACTACTACAACGATCCAGAATAGCACAAACTCTGATTAAACTGAAACGGGGTGTGGAGTTTCGTTTTACTTTGAACTTTTCTGACACACTCTTTATCTGACCACTATTTGTCCTTGTTCAATCAGCGGTCACATTGAAAGATCACTGACATAATTTTCGTCTGCATTTGCAAGTCAAACTTTTCCTCACTGGTGGATTATGTGTGGTAAACTACCTACATTTTATTCTCTATTGTGGGACCACTATTCACAGGATATGATTGTGAACCTAGTAACCACTCAAACAAACGACTCCTGGCAGTTGAGAAGTACAGACTGAATCATATTTGTGTATTTATTATCGCGTATCGCTTGCTTATTTTATAAGTGAAAACCGGCCTTTATCAACGTGCTCTGGAAGAAGGGTAAGGTTTCCGGAACATTTAGACGATAACCGCACTGAGGACACAACATAACATCTTGTTTCATGTCATTATTTTGGGCCATTATGTCAAAAAGCCAAAACATTTCCGATCTCATGTATAAGTATATATTTTTTCCCGAAAAAATGATTGTGAGAAAATAGCTTCTACACAATTACCTGTTAAAAAAGACATGCAGAGCAGTTCCTTTTACTTCTTCCATCCGTTTTGCGTCGTTACACACTTACGAGTGAATTTCGACATGCATTGACAATTCCCTTTGTTTATTTTTTTCTGACGGTTGGAGATTAAAGAGCCGACAAAGACTGCGATGATTTAAAATTTTCATTGTACTTTACTTAGACTTTATCGAACTTTTCCGTGACTGAGTTATACTGATGCTAGGACTACCATCAATTGTTCTACTACTACAACGATCCAGAATAGCACAAATTCTGATTAAACTGAAACGGGGTGTGGTAGTTGTAATAATGGTTTATTTCTGTAAACTCAGGAATATACTGTGTTTATGGACATGAACAGTAATGTACGATCAGGACTTCCACATAAATTGCCATCATATTAGAGTTATTGATGAGATTTTATTGATAAATCTGCTATTTTTCACAAGCGAAAGTCAATAGAAATATATCAGGCACCTATGAAATTGGTATTCGAAAAGCTCTTATTTATGATAAATTAGTGAAAAAAGGAAACGGCAATAAGCTGTGTACCTTCAAAGTTCATATGTTGAATATAAAGTCTAAGTTCTAGGTAGGAACTCCAAAGGTATGTGATGCGGAATTGCTGAAATAAGGGTAAGAGAAAAGGGTGAGCAGTAGGACAAGGAACTATAAGTGACTGACAACGTCCAGCTGTTTGAATAGGAACACACCCGGTGTTTAGTCAGCATGTAAAACTCTAGGCAGCTAGTTTCATTACAATGAATAGTGGCGGTCTACAAATAAGTTGTTGAGACAGATAACAAGGAGTCGTGGATTGAAAGTAAAAGAAATCGGTCTCAGCAGTGAGTAGAAAGCTGTTTATCTGTTTTGAGGATGAGAGAAAAAGACGTAGTCTATAAATTCAAATAAGTTTGTCATTATTAAGATACCTTTTCATCATTGATCTTTCATTTTTTATATCAACTACTAGTCTTTTGGTTTTATCATCAAAGCGTGCACTTGTTTGAAATAGGTTATCTTGAAAGAATAACATGATCAATTTATGCTTATGTAGTGACCTACTTTTATGAAGAGGGCGACTGGCATATTGGGAATAATTATTATTATGACCAACTGTACCAGTGATTGTTTTACAGTACATGTTTGTTTAAGTGTACCGAAAAACTCACTTTTCCACTGTTTGTAACCTTGCACGAACTCTCGTATATCCGTGATGTCGCCTGTAAACTTTGGCACAAACTGGGTATTATTTCGATACCACGAGATCGCCAACGAATACATCCTAATACAATCCCCAACTGCCTTCTGATATTTGGCCTTCAGAGAGATCTAACCTAGCAACTGGCAAGCCGTTTTCCTGTAGTAGTGATCATATTCAACCGCAACTCGATACTACCACAGTTAACAAACAATAGCATGAAATAGCGAACATAGTGTAACATTCTTGATACTACTGAGTGGCTACTATACTTCCAACTACAAAAAATTTAAAAACGGATGAAACTTCCCGTTCTTCAAAAGTAGAGTTTAGAGTCATGATAAAAACCAATCGAGAAGAGATCATTTCTTACCAGTTGTTACTTTCTACCTCAAATGAGCGGTGGTATTATCCCTGGTCGATTACCTCTTTTAGTTTGGTTGTATTATAAGGTGAGGAAGCTCCTTTTATACCTGTTTATGTTGATTTTTCAGTTGCTGTAACATGGAAATTTCAGTCTTGTGTGTTCTGTGTTTACTACCCAATTAGCTTTTGGAGTACGTATTCTATAAATCGGTTTCCCTGTATCCGTCTGTTTTTTCAGCGCTTAATGGGATTTTTTGTCGTTCTCTTGGTGAGATCACTTAGCAAATTTGATCGCTTGGACAAAACATCGTTGTAGTAGATCCACATGCTTTTTTACGGCTGAAGATATAATGCAATATGGCTGCTGCAATGGTTAATATCAC